ATATATCCTTGTGTTTTAATTGATTTTTAAAATTTTTGCAGTCAGGTACAGTAGTGTACACCGTATTTCCAGCACTCTAGGAAGCTGAGGCAAGAGGATCCCCAGTGCCAGTCCAGCCTGGCCAGCTTGGTGAGATCCTGTCTCCCAAAAACAAACAAACAAAAAGAACTGGGGATGGAGCTCAGTGCAAAGGCCCCAGGTTCAATCCCCAGTACCATGCACACATACGAATATCATTTTAAAAAATGTTTAAAGGAAAAACTCTGGAAGACTGTGTTCCCCATCCCCCTCTCAAAAATAAAAAATAAAATAAAAAAATAAACAAAACAGAGGGGAAAAGTGCAAGTGCCCTGTGTCCTCACAATGCCAGCCTCTGCTCTAAGCACACCTTCTCCCCATGCGTGTGCTAATCCTCACCCGGAAGAGCGTGTTTCTGTAACAGTGATATGTAATTTTTAAATTGAAAATGGCTGTCAGGTTTGTTTTTAGTAGCAGTTATTATTGCAATGTAATTCACATACCATGAAGTTTATGAAGTTTGTCTTTTTCCCTTGTTATTTTACAGTGGCAGGCCTGACACATGCTCGGCAAACGCGATACCACTGAGCTACACTCCCCCAGCCCACGTTTATCTTTTTAAAGTGCAGAGTGCCATAGTTTTTAGTGTTTTCAAGCAATTGTGCAACTAGCAGCACTCTCTCATTCCAGGACATTTTTGTCTGTCCTAATATAAACCTCTCACCCACTAACAGTCCTTCCTGCCCCATCCTTCCTCAGCTCTTGCTCTCATTCATCTGATCTTTGCCTGGTGGCCTGCCTCATCTGGGCATTTGGTGGAAATGGAACATGTGATCGTGCCCAGCCTTGTTCCTCTGCACGGTGTTCTCTACGTGCCACGTTGTAGCATGTGTCAGTACTAAGTTCCTTTCATGGCTGAACACTTTTCTTTTCTTTTTGAAACAGGATCTCATTGTGCAGTGCAGGCTGGCCTTGAGCTCACTTTGTAGCCCAGGCCGGCCTCGAATTCAGTGATGCTCCTGCCTCAGCCTTCTGAGTGCTGAGATTACAGGCGCGTGCCACCACGCCCAGGTGTGGTTGAACAGTTTTCAGTTGTGTGATGGACCTCGTTCTGTTTGTCCGTCCCTCAGTTGGTGGGTCTGTTTGTGTTGTAGGTTTTGTTTTGCAGGTTACTTCTCCTTACCAGGTGCCATGGAGACTTTTCGTGTTGGCATCTTCATGACCTCTCAGTCCTTCTCGAGTGCGGTGCGTTGATCTCACTGGCTCCTGTGTGATGCTCCTCAGCGCCTTTGGAGACCCCTGGCTTAGCCCGAGTCACTGTACTTCCTTCGGGAAATCAGACAGCTTAAGGGGTTTTTGGTCACCTAACACATGGCTCAGTATTATAGATGAGAAAATGGGATTTCGGGGAGAAGAAGGATCCCTGGAGATCCAGTGTGTGGGTCTCAGATTTTTTTTTTTATTTTCAATTAATTAAGTTTATTGGTACATTTTAGGTGTACATAACGATCACATTCATTATAGGGAATTTGTACCTATACTTGATATAACTTCATGTTTTTTTCCACTCCCCTGCCCTCCCTTCCACCCTCCTTCTCCTGCTTATTTATAAAAGCTGTGTTTCCATATTTTCCTTCTTTTCCCATCATGGTTTTTCTGTTCCCTTCTTTTCTCCCTCCCTCTCTCTAGTTCCCCTTCCCATTTGAACATTTTCTTCCTATTTCACAATATCTACTACACATTTTGGTCCTTATTTACACTTTCAGTTTCTCACACTAGAGAAACAGTGCAGTATTTACACATGTGTGTCTGATTTATTTCACTTAAGAGTATGGTCTCAAGATGCATCCATTTACCTACAAATGTCTCTCTAGCTTATCCTTCTTTATGGCAGAGTAGTACTCCATTATATATTTGTTAAAAACCATGTCTTCTTTATCCAGCCATCTGTTGATGGACATTTGGGCTGTTTCCAAGATTTAGCTATTACAAACTATGCCGCTGTAAACATGAGTCTGCATATATTGCTGTGAAATGATGTTTTTCATTCTTTCAGGAAGATACCAAGCAGGGAAATATCTAGGTCAAATGGAACCTCTAGTCCTAGTTTTCTGAGGAGTCTCCACATTGATTGCCACAGGGGTCACACCAGTCCACACTCCCACCAACAGTGGAGAAGGGTTCCTTTTCCCCATAGTCCCTCCAGCATTTGCTACTAGTTGATTTGTTGTTTTTTTTTTTTTTTTTTTTTTTTTGGTTTTTCTCTGGTACCGGGAACCGAACTCAGGACCTTGAGCTTGCCAGTCAGGCACTTTTGCCGCTGAGCTAAATCCCCAGCCCCATGATTTCTTGATGACAGCCATTCTTTGTGGAGTGAGATGGAATCTCAGTGTTGTTTTAATTTGCATCTGTCAGATGTGGGTCTCAGGTTGTGATGGAGGCCCAGATCAGTAGGGCGGATGTTCTACCTGGAGCCCTGCCCCGCCCCCACAGCGCTACATCCCGGTATCCCCAGCTTTTGTTGAAGGATTTGTTTTGTGACTAGCACCCCATCTTTCCCCTTCCCTGTTTTGAAATGTCCCAGGCCAGCTCATCTCACAAGCTGGCTCTCTGCTCTTGGCACCTGGCAGCACCTGAAGTATCAATCTTTGCCTTCCTGCCTCATTTGCATCCAAAAAGGTCTGTAGGATCTGGTTGGGCTGGAACACAGACTGGAGCTTATCTGGAGCAGCTCTCCTTGGTGCAATTTGCATTTTAGAATCACCTGGGGAGTTATTTTAAATCCAGATGCCTGACACCTACCCCAGGCCAATTAGATCAGAATCTTGGGAGCGGGGCACCTGGGGCATCTATTTTTTTTAGCACCCCCTCAATAATCTCGTATGAACCTGGGGTAACAGCCACTGTGTAGCATAACTCCAGCCCTTGTCAAAGCAATTTCAACCAGATTTGGTTATAGCACACTTGTAATCCCAGCTACTTGGGAGCCTGAGGCAGGATGATTGCCATTTTGAGGTCAGCTTGGGCAATTTAGTTAGACCTTGTCCCAGTATATAGAATAAAACAAACAAAAACAATTAAAAGAGGTAGGGATGTAGCTCGCCACTCCCTAGATTCAGTCTGCAGTACTAGGGGCTGAAAGGGGGGGACACATTTTCTCCAGCTGATTGTTTGGAACTTGATAAAGAGCTAGTCTTGGGTTGACTGTGGATTTGCTGTGAAATCCTGCTTCTTTTTCACTTTGTTTCAGTAAAATGGGGCTTGGATTAGATTGATGCCTCACCTCCCAGGGTCGGGGGAGAGAGGTGAGACTTGGGATGAGTGTTTATCCAGTCATGTGGAAACATTTTCAGAAATCCAGAAATTCATCCTACCAGCCCAACTTGGAAAGTCGAAAGCAACCTAAGTGTGGTTTCATTCACAGGCAGTATGAGTCAGCGCTCTCGGGAGGAAGTGTTCAGTGGAACCACAAATCTAATTGAGTGACTTTTTTTCAGCAGAAAAACTTCAGTAATGATTATTGCAGCATTTCCTCAAATTCCCTTCTATAGGCTTGTGCCATTTTGCAGTCTCACCAGCAATGAATAAGCATTTTTATTTCACCAGCGCTTCACCAGTTAATACATTGTCAGGTGGTTTGGGTTTTTGCCATCCTGATACATGAAAAAAGCTACCTTACTGTAGTTTTCATGTGCATTTCTCCATCGTGAGGGAGGCTGAACATCTTACGGTTAAGATCCATTTACATTTTTCTGAGAACTCTTTTTCATATGTCTAGCCCATTTTCCTATAGGTTTGTTGGTCTGTTGAATCTGTTTGTGGCGCTCTTTACATATTTTGGTTATCAACCCTTTATCAATTGCAAATATCTTCCCCAGTTTGTTATTTATATTTTTATTTTTCTTAGGGTGTTTTTTTTTCCATGAGGAATTTGCTTGTGTAATGAAATGTATCAGTGTCACCCCCTAAATCTTCACAGTTTGGGGGCTGGGGATTTAGCTCAGTGGCAAAGCACCTGCCTGGCAAGTGCAAGGTCGTGAGTTCGGTTCCCGGTACCGGAAAAAAAAAAAAAAAAAAAAAAAAAAATCTTCACAGTTTTTAAATCCTGTTTGTCATCAGTCTGTTGTGATTGTTTCTAAGTCTGCCGTGTAATTTTTATACCTACGCCCATTTTATTTATTAGTATTTGTTTTGAATTTGAGCTTCCACAAGGTGTCATTTCTATGAGGACAGGAGTCCCCTGGTCTAGGAAAGTCATCTTCCCTAGATGACTGTGTCCTCATCAAGGACTCAGGCAACGCGAGAAGATGAGTCACACCCATCGCTTTAGCTGGTTCCACGGGGAGCTGTGGGGTGAGGGTAGTATTTTGAGTTGAGGCTAAGGGGCACGGACCAGGATTCATGGACTCCAACCAGGGAGGGCACATGACTTGGACAGGATAACTCCCCTCAGCCAATGGGCATCGCTGGGAGGGCGCCTCAGCTTCAAGGTGTTATCTGGGGAAATCAGTATCTCGGCTGAAGGGGCTCTGGGCAGGCACTACAGCGTCTTCCCTAGTACCTTCCCCATCTTGTTCACTGCTGTGTCCTTTACATCAGACTGGGCCTGGCATGCAGTAAGTGTTCCTAACTTCCTGGCACATGATGAGTTCTCAGGAAATCTGACAAATGAGTGAAAGATAAGCAAGAACAGAAACCCGGATTTCTAAGTCTTAGTCCAGGCCAACTGAATCATCCGTTGGGGTGGCAGGAGGTGGGGAGCCCTGAGCAGGCCCGTTCAGAGTCATCTCCTCAAGTTCTCCTGGGCTGTCCCTCTTTGCTGCCCACTGGGTGGTCTCCAGCCCCTCTGGCTCAGCAGTGGGTGTGGGTCAAGGCCTGGACATGGCTGGACTAGGGCCTTTAAGATGACCCCAGGCCTTGTGACTGCTCTTTGGATATGTGTTACCCTGGGGAACTGTCATTTCTGTTTTTCCTCCCTCCAGCATTCCTTGAAGAAAAGAGGCACACGCTCCCTGGGGAAGACAGACAAGAAGCCTTCTGCACAGGTACGGCCTGGGAGCCCTGCAGACAGGTTGTAGGCTGAAGGCTTTAGCATAACTCCATGTGGCCGGGGAGTCCCCAGAGACGCTCAGCCCTCCCAGCTTCCACTTTGTCCTCCCCTTGTTCATTTTCTTGGCTTCACTGCCCACAGCACCTCCTAGAACCACACTCTGAGCCCGGGGTTCTTGTTCTTGGAGCCCAGATGATCAAATCCAGAGGTCCAGAGTCAAAACCGTAGCTTTGCCACTTGATTGCCTTCTAAGTGGGCTGAGTCACCTCAACTTTCTGGCCTCAGTTTCCTCATCCATCCCTATCTTGTGGGTCTGTTGGAAGAATTTGATAAACTGATGCACGTTGCACAGGCGAGGCACGCAATAGCATTAGCTGCTAGTGGTCCTAATGGTACCAAGCACTTTCAATACATTATCTCTTTTAATCCTCTCCATGGCTGCTTGAGAAAGGGAGTTATTTCCACATCGTACACATGGGGAAACTAGCAGGATGGTGGTAGAAGAGGCTAGGCATGTGGCTCAGTGACAGCATGCACGAAGCTCTGGGTACATTCAGACATAAAGGAGTGGTGGTAGTAGCAGCAGCAACAGTTGTCACCTGCTCTCAGACTCCACGCTGTGGGTGCTGTTCCGTCCTTGCTACAATATCTGGGTATGGTGGCACATATTTGTAATCCCAGCACTTAGGAGGCTGAGGCAGGAGGACTGCTGTGAGTTTGAGGCCAACCTAGTGTACATAGTGAGCTCAACATTGGCCTGAAATACATAGCAAGACCCCCGTCTCAAAAAAAAAAAAAAATCAATGTCCCCTTACTGACTTCCTCTGGACCCCGCGCTCCTTGAGGGTTGGGCTGCATCTGGTTCACCCGTGTTCCTAGCATGTAGTTAGTGCTCCTCAAAATGCTATGGCTGGTACTGTGCCAGTGCTAACTTTCTTGGCTGGTGTCTGACCCTATGCCTACCGGGCCCCAGGAGGACAGCGCAGACCTGAAGTGCCAGCTGCACTTTGCAAAGGAGGAGTCGGCTCTCATGTGCAAGAAGCTCACCAAGCTGGCCAAGGAGAACGACAGCATGAAGGAGGAGCTGCTGAGGTACCGCTCGCTCTATGGCGACCTGGACGCTGCCCTGTCAGCTGAGGAACTGGCAGATGCCCCGCACTCGCGGGAGACCGAGCTGAAGGTGCACCTGAAGCTAGTGGAGGAGGAGGCCAACCTGCTGAGCCGCCGCATCGTGGAGCTGGAGGTGGAGAACCGGGGCCTGCGGGCCGAGATGGATGACATGAAGGACCACAGCGGTGGCTGTGGCGGCCCGGAGGCACGGCTGGCTTTCTCTGTGCTGGGGGGCAGCGAGTGTGGGGAGAGCCTGGCGGAGCTGCGCCGACACCTGCAGTTCGTGGAGGAGGAGGCGGAGCTGCTGCGGCGCTCCTCGGCTGAGCTCGAGGACCAGAACAAGCTGCTGCTGAACGAGCTGGCCAAGTACCGCTCTGAGCATGAGCTGGACGTGACGCTGTCGGAGGACAGCTGCTCGGGACTCAGTGAGCCCTCGCAGGAGGAGCTGGCAGCGGCCAAGCTGCAGATCGGTGAGCTTAGCGGGAAGGTCAAGAAGCTGCAGTATGAGAACCGGGTGCTGCTCTCCAACCTCCAGCGCTGTGACCTTGCCTCCTGCCAGAGCACACGCCCCATGCTGGAGACAGACGCTGAGGCCGGGGACTCTGCCCAGTGTGTGCCCGCTCCCCTCGGTGAGGCCCACGAGCCCCACTCGGCCCGGCTCTGTAAGGCCCGGGAGGCTGAGGCGCTGCCGGGGCTGAGGGAGCAGGCCATTCTGGTCAGTAAGGCCATCGATGTCCTGGTGGCCGATGCCAACGGCTTCTCGGCAGGCCTCCGACTCTGTCTGGACAACGAGTGTGCTGATTTCCGGCTGCACGAGGCCCCTGACAACAGCGAGGGCCCCAGGGACGCCAAGCTCATCCATGCCATCCTGGTGCGGCTCAGCATGCTCCAGCAGGAGCTGAACGCCTTCACCCGAAAAGCAGACTCAGTCCTCGGGAGCTCGGGCAAGGAGCAGCCAGAGCCCTTCCCACCACTGCCTGCCTTGGGCTCCCAAGGGGCCTCCAAGGAGGTCATGCTGGCCAAAGACCTTGGCTCAGACTTCCAGGTAAGATGTCCCAGTCATGTGCACTGTGACTTTTGTGTTATGTGAGCTTTGTACTGAACCATGACATACAGAGAGGAGGGTGCAGAACACGTGTAGGTAGCCTTTAGAATCTCTACAGTGAGCACGCTGGTGAAATTGTCCCCCAGACATGACCAGCACCCCAAGAGTCACCTTATCCCCCTGTGTCACCATCCCTGTTCCCAAAGGTAGCTCCTCTCTTGATTTAGTTTTATCTATGGATTCTTTCTAAAATTAATCCTGTAGTTCAGACTGACTTATGCCTGGCTTCTTTCTCTCAACACTGTTTGTTGTTCATATAATAAAAGTTTCTTTATTCTAGGTATGAGCCCATGGACTGAATGCACCACAAGTTACTTATTCATTTATTATGGATAGATACTGATTTCAAGGCCTGTCTTTTGGCCAGGTTATCCCTTCTTCTTTTCTTATTTCTTTTGTAATTTTAAAAATTTTAAAACACGTATTTTTTTTTAAGTTTTTGATCGGTTTCAATGTAAAGACAAGATGCTCAGCTCGCGCCTGTAATTCCAGTACTCTGGAGGCTAATACAGGGGGATTGAGGCTAGCCTGAGATCCTGTCTCAAAACACAGCCTTGGTGTCCATAAAATACTTCTTAGGAAAATTAAATTAACAAAGATCCTGCTCCCCATCCCCCACACACAAAATGTCCTGTTGCAGAAGTAGACATAGCCATTTAAAAAGTTTTAGAAGTGCCAGGGGTAAAAACATAAAAGCCCACTTCCCCTACCTCCCACTGGTCCTACTAGTTTGTTGTTACTTTACAGTAGTGGGGATGGAACACAGGGCCTTGTGGATGTTTGGAAAGCACTCTCTTCCACTGAGCTCCGTCTGCAGCCACTGAGCTCCGTCTGCAGCCCTGGTGATACTGCCAATAGTCTAGGGTGGTGCTGTCCAGTGTGGTAACTACATGTGGCATTGTGGTGTAGCTCAGTGGTCGAAAGTTTGCCTAGCAAGCCCTGAGTTCCATACCCATGCCACATTAATTAATTAACTAATTAGAACTACTTAGAATTAAAAATTCAGTTCCTCAGTTGCAGGAGTCACATTTCAAGTGCTCAGTTGTCACACACTGGGCATGTGTCTAGTTGCATAGATCTAGGATATCTTGGGCCGGGGATATAGCTCAGCGGTTACAGCGCCTGCCTGGCAAGTGCAAGATCCTGAGTTCGATTCCCAGCACCAAAAAAAAAAAGATCTAGGATATTTCATCCTTGCAGGCTGCCCTTCTAAATCTTTCTGTACATATATGCTCATGTATTTGCTTTTCACTTCTTATACTTACTGTTACTAAACAATGTATTTTTCTCATGCAATTTATTCATATGTTCATTTGCTGTGATGATCCACGTATAACATACACATTTTCTGTGCTTGGTGCTGAAGGTGTCCCAACAAACAAAACCAAATAGGATTTCTGCTCTTAAGGCCTTTATTGTCTAATGGGGAAGAGTTAATCAAAATGTCACGCCAGTAAATGTGAAATTACAAACTGAGAAGAGGGATCTGAAGGAAAGATAAATGGTTTTCTGAACAAGGAACATGAGCTAGACCCTGGGGCAGCTCAGATCAGAGGGGAAAGGAATGTGGTGTGCCCAGGGATGTGAGCGAAGAGGAGGGAGGCTGGACTGCAGAACCCTGGGGTTTTGATCTGCATGTGAGAGCAACTGCAGGGATCTATCCGCCTCTGTGCAGGGAGATTCAGCTCGCTTTTCCTGACAACTACACAGTGGCGCTGTGCCAAACTAACTGATGCCTTGTAGAGCTGGCTTGATCTTGCTTTTTTAAGCAGTCTGCCCCATGTTGAGTGTTCCTCTTGGTTCTTCTTAAAGTAGGAATAAGGTAGGAACATACACGTGATAGGATGGTTGGCTGTTTCAGAGCGTTCATGCACAAGGCAGACACTGACAAAAGTAGTATTTTACTCACCACTTACCTGTTCATTCGTCTTTTCAACAAACACTGAGCGGCAGCACTGGTCCTTAGCAGGGCTGGGTCCAGTCTGCCGAGGTTAATCCACCTGGGGCCGCCTTCCCATGGGTGGTCAAAGCCTCTTAGGGAGCCTGAGGGCCTGGGATGAGGGCTGTGTGTATGGTACCTTTGGCGTCTCCTCATGATTTTCTTTGTTTTCTTCTGCCTGTGCCTCTGGGTGTAGCCACCTGACTTCAGGGACCTGCCAGATTGGGAGCCCAGAATCCGAGAGGCCTTCCGCCCTGGTGACTTGGACTCTAAGGCTGACTCTAGTTGGAGCTTCAGGCCTTACCGAGCTGAAGACAATGATTCCTATGCCTCTGAGGTGGGTCTAACTAGCCGAGCAAGAGGTTAGGTGGGAAGGGAGTGGCTGGGGCGGAGTGATCTATGGAGGGTGAGTTTTTAAGTTTTAAGCAAAAAAGGAAATAAGGAAGATTGGGCCATTCTTATGGCCTAATCAAAGAAGCTCATCTTAAGAAATTGATTTTTTTCTGTTAACTTCCATTGGAAATTTAATAATTTATGTCATTTAATGAAGTTACTAATTTGTGTGCCAGGGAGTCAGTCTATAGTTAGGCTGTTTGGATTCCAGTTGTGGATCCACCCTACACCGGCTGTCAGAGCTCAGGTAAGTTGCTTCACCTCTGAGTTTTCAGCTTTCCAACCTATAAAACGAAAACCCCTCAGTGTGGTTGGAAAAGTTGAGTACATGAGAAGTCTTACTTAAGGTCGAGTCCATGGTAAGGATGAGGATGACCTATCGCTTGGACCTGGCGGGCCTGAGGCAGGTCTCTGTTCTGCCGGCCAGTGTGGCTGTGTGACCGAGGACACATCCTACCCTCTGGCCACAGCTCTCTCCTTTGTCACATGGGAGGATGAGAATTGCTGCCGTAGGGTTCTCTGATCCTTAGGGTATTTGAGGTGAATCTAAGCCTCTCCCAAGCCTACTCGGAAGCCTTTCAGCAGTTCATAAAGAATCTGGAGCAGGAAAAGGGTCGTGTGGACTGGGATGGTTATCCCTAAGACTCCCCAGCCTTAGCATCCCTTTCTTGTAAGCATCCGTGGGAAGGTGACTTTGATGTCCTGGGATGGCCTGCCTGCTCCTGTGCAGAAGTTCCTGTGAAGCTGAAGGATCAGTCCTCTCAGCGAGGTGCCCTGAGCTTCAAAGTAGTCTTGGTAAATAGGGGGAAATAAGAAGCTGGGGGTGGGTGTCGTTCAGTGATAGAACATGTGCTTATCATGTGCAAGCTAAGTTCAGTCTACACAAACCCCACAAAAGTGGCTAAGGATGTAGCTCAGTGGTAGAGCACTTGCATAGCATGCATGATTCCCTGGGCTAAATCCCCAGCATAGAAAAAAAAAAGGAGCTGTTTAGTTCTTATTCTCTAAGAAAAGGAAATGCACCTATTTCTATAGGCATACTTACAGAGAAAATTAATTTCCTGCATGCAGTTAACTATTGTTTTATTTGGCTGTTCTTTATGGAGCAGTTATAATTGTGAAGAAGTGAGCTGAACACTGAGTTCAAGGAGGATACCAGAGAGAACACAGTACCTAACTCCACAAAGGTTTTCTGTTTTGTTACGTTTTTTCTATTTTTTTGTGATGCTAGGGATACCCTAGCCTTATCTGTCTGTCTGTCTGTCTGTCTCTATTTATCTATCCAATTTTTTCCTCCCTCATTTCCTCTATGTATCTAAATTCTTTTTTTTTTTCCTTTTTGAGACAGGATCTCACTATGCAGTTCAGGCTCACCTTGAACTCATTCATGTAGCCCGGGCAGGTCTCAAACTTGCAACGATCCCCCTGCCTCAACCTCCCAAGTGCTGGGATTACAGACATGCAGCACCACGCCCAACCTGTGTATTTAAATTTTGAGACAGGGTCTCGCTAACTCACTACGTTGCCCAGGCTGAGCTCAAACTTGGGATCCTTTTGCTTCATACTCCCAAAGTGGTGGGATTACAGTCATGTGCCGGCTCTGTTTGGTTCTTTATGCAGTCCTGGCAGTTGCACCCAGGGCCTCATGCATGCTGCGTAAGTGTGCTACCGCTGAGCTATACCCCCAGCCTGCTGCAGTCATTTTTAATATAAAACAGGTACATGAGACATACCTCAAATCAATATGTCTTCCATAGCCAAATTATCACATTACTGGCCACATAGGTCATGTTTATTTTTTTTTACAGAGAGACATCTGCCATGACTGGGAAGGTTTTATATGAGTTGGAACTGACATTTCTTTTTTTGTTTTTTTTTCCGGTACTGGGAATTGAACTCACAACCTTGCACTTGCCAGGCAGGCGCTGTGCCGCTGAGCTAAATCCCCAGCCCTGACATTTCTTTTTTTTATTCCTTGTTTAATGTGGCAACATAAACATTTGCCTCTGTTATCAGAAATCCTTGATAAATTTTATTTTATTTTAGTTTATATATATTTTTTGAGACAGGGTCTCACTATATAGTTCAGGCTAGCTTTGAATCACTGTGTAGCCCAGGCTGGCTTTGAACTTGTGTCAGTTCTCCTGCCTCAGCCTCCTGAGTGCAGGGATTACAGGCATGTGCCACCATGCCCAGCCCAAATTTTAAATTTTTTTGAGACAGGGTCTTACTGTGTTGCTCAGGCTGGTCCCCAGCTCACTGGCTCAAGCAGTTCTCCCACCTTAGCCTCCAGAGTAGCTGGGACTACCAGTGTACACCACCACACTCACCTGACATTTTTTATTGAAGCGTAACATACATGGAGAAAAGTGTGTATGGGCTGGAGCATAACTCAATGGTAGAACTCTCGCCTAGCACACACAAGGCCCTGAGTGTGATCCCCAATACCACCAAAAAGGGGGAAAGGGTCATCTTATAAATCAAATTTTCACAAACTGAACTCTCTAATGTAATACCCAGATCAATAAACAGTGTGTGACCCACCCCTGGAATTCCCTATTATGTTCCCTTCTATTCACTATCTGGACTCCTAAAAGAATAGATTGGTTCTGACAGGTGCAGTAGCACATCCTGTAATCTCAGCTACTCAAAAGATGAGGCAGGAGGATCACAAGTTTGAGACCAACTTGAGCAACTTAGCAAGACCCCATCTCAAAGAAAAAGGAAAAAAAAAAAAAAAGCCACGGTTGTAGCTCGTGGCTAGAGTGCTGCCTTGTGTGCTCAAGACTTTGGGTTCAAATCCCCAGTTTAGGGGAAAGAAAAGGTTAGTTTTTGCCTGTTTAGCTACAAATACTTTTAAACACCAATTCCTGTAGAAAATGTGAAATTTTTTTTATCTTTTTCTGAAGATCTTAACGCATAGTCATTGTAAACAACAAATAACTCTAACAAAATCCCCAAGCAGGACTGCATCCAGGTATAAAGGAGAAAGTCAATACCATGCAATCATCATGTAGTTAACTACTGTTTACACTCAGAGTATGTGTTTTCCTGTCTTTTGTAACATAGTAATGTAGTTACTATAAAGGGCAGTACCATTAAGGTTAAGTATACAGTTGAATGGATTTTTATGTTATATATAGATCCATTAAATATATTTTAGTCTCTGTGATTTATTACTGAAATTTTTAAATTTTTGTAATTATACACTGTGAGACAGCTGGGTAGGGTGCCATGTGTCTATAGTTGCAGCACTTTGGAGGCTGAGACAGGAGGATTGCTTGAGCCCAGCAGTCTGAGGCCAGCCTGGACCACATAATGAGACCCTATCTCATTGAATAATAAAAACTTCCTGGGTGTGGTAGTGCATACCTCTAATCCTACCACTCTGGGATTCTAAGACAGGAGAATCACTTGTGATTCTTACCCAAGCTTGTGAACCCAGCTTGGGTAACTTAGTGACTTTGCAAGACCCTGTCTCAGAATAAAAAAGGGCTGGGAATGTAGCTCAGTGCAAAGGCCCCAGTACCATCAAAAACAAAACAAAACAAAACAAAACCAAAGAACACCAAAAAAACAGTAATTCACACGTGGTGGCAGAGGCCTATAATCCCAGCATTCGGGAGGCTGAGGCCGGAGGATCACCATGAGTTTGAGGCCAACCTGGCATATATAAGTATGTTCAAGGCCAACCTATACTACATAGTGAGATCTTGCCTCAAAAACAAAAAACAAACACCAAAAAAAAAAAAAACCAAACCAGTGAGACAATGAACATCTTTGTGAATCAGACTTACTGTAATTTTCACAGTGTTATTTTGTTCAAATGAATATCAAAGAAATTACCAACTTCAGAGCATAACAGTAGATAGACTTGGTGTGCACTGTTTGGTTTGTCTTGACAACCCACTGAGTAGGGACAGCTGTTGCACCTTAGCTGTACTCGAGGGGCACTGGGCCCAGCTTACTGTTGGCCCCCCTCCCACTTTCATGCTTTGACTGCAGCCTGTATCCTCTTTGTCCTCTCTCCTTCCTCCTGTGCTGTGCCCCCATCCCCACCCTAGATCAAGGAGCTGCAGCTGGTACTGGCCGAGGCCCATGACAGCCTCCGGGGCTTGCAGGAGCAGCTCTCCCAGGAGCGGCAGCTACGGAAGGAGGAGGCTGACAGCTTCAACCAGAAAATGGTCCAGGTGGGGGATGCACCTACTTCAGCTTCTCCGCTAACTGAAGGCAAAGGGGCTGGGGCTGTAGCTCTGTGGTAGAGTCTTGCCTAGCATGCGCAAGGCCCTGGGTTCCAGCCCCAGCACTGCAAAAACAATCAAAAACAAACACAACTTGAAGGCAGGACCCTCAGACCCATTGGGCCTCAGAAGGTGAGAATGTTAGGGGAAACCACGTCTTGTAAGCCCAGTGCCCTGGAGGGGGTTACCGTGTTGTGATTTTGCTATGCTAGACTGGAATCTTAGACTTGTCATTGGTTATCAGTGTGACCTTAGGCCAGTCCTATTTTCTCTTAGGACCTCAGTTTCCCACCTTGATGGTACTTCCATCAAGTCTTCCCGATAATAAAGATGGTAGTCCTATAATAGCATTTATTGAGCCCTCACTGTATGCCAGGTCCATGTAACACACTTTCTGTACCTTATGTCCTTGGATTTCCATGCCCTGCCCTGTGAGGTGTCCCCGTTTTACAGGTGGAAAAACAGGCCCAGGGAACTGAAGTGCTTTGCTCACAGACACATCTAGGGTGAAGTGGCGCCGGGATTCTCTTATCCCAGATATAGCACGGCTTCCTAGGATATTGCATATTCATTCATGCACTTGACCCTAGCGTCCCTGCACGTGGGTTACCTGTCCCTGCCCTCACCGCTCGCCCTCCAGTTCCTCCTTCAGTGTGAGGTTTTGTGTGAAACATCCGGCAGCCAGAGGTGCTCAGGGTCTGATTATGTGATTTATTTAGTCAAACGGAGCTGATTCAGATCCCAGCTTTTCCACGGATTTGGATTGGGGCCGCTGTTGCTTTTTGAGTTAGTCTTCCCTGGGTGGAATGAGCTGCTTGTGGTGGGATCCTTGTGAGGGATCCCCAAAGGGTGCCCTCACATTTCTTCTCTGCCCTTGACCTCTTCCCTTACACTGGGAGTGGGTGGGAATGGTGGGAGCCTTGAATGGCCTTTCTCAAACCGGCATCCTTGCAGCTGAAGGAGGACCAGCAGAGGGCACTGCTGAGGCGAGAGTTTGAGCTGCAGAGTCTGAGCCTGCAGCGGAGGCTGGAGCAGAAGTTCTGGAGCCAGGAGAAGAACATTCTGGTCCAGGAGTCCCAGCAGTTCAAGCACAACTTCCTGCTGCTCTTCATGAAGCTCAGGTGGTTCCTGAAGCGCTGGCGGCAGGGCAAGGTTTTGCCCAACGAGGGGGATGACTTCCTGGAGGTATGGCTGGGCCTGGGCCTGGGCCTGGCCAGGTGGGTGGGAAGACAGGGAAGATGGACGAGTGGGACAGAACACTTCACATTAACGTCGGCCGCTTGTGGGGAGTATTAGTGTGCGTGAGCATGGGATGATCCTCAGACCCCAGGGGCCAGTTCAGTCCTCAGTGGGAACCCTGTTGTCTTTCTGAACCCTAAATCCTGGAATCCTAAATTTTTACTTCCAAACCCTCCTGGGGGCTGGGGGTGTGCAGTTCAGACTGGCCTTGAGCTCACTTTGTAGCCCAGGCTCATCTCGAACTCACAACAATCCTCCTGCCTCAGCCTCCTGAGTGCTGGGATTACAGGTGTGTACCACTACACCTGGCCTGTTGGACCCTTCTTTTTTTTTTTTTTTTTTTTTTTTGGTTTTTCTCTGGTACCGGGAACCGAACTCACGACCTTGCGCTTGCCAGGCAGGCGCTTTTTGCCGCTGAGCTAGATCCCCAGCCCCTGGACCCTTCTTAATGGGTTTCTAGGACACCATATTCTTTGTTTTCCTTCTGCCTCAGGGGTTCCTTCTTATCTCACCTCCTTTTTTATTTTTTCTTTGGTGGTGCTGAGGATGAAACCCGGGGCCTTGTGCATGCTAAGTACATGCTTTACCCCTGAGTCCCAGCCCCAGCTCCCTGACCTCATCTCTTAAGATCAGAGTCTCCAGCCGGGTGTCGTGGTACACACCTATAATTCTAGCACTCTGGAGGCTGAGGCAGGAAGATCACCAGAAGGTTGAGGCCAACCTATGCTATATAGTGAGTTTAAGGCCAGCCTGAACTACATAGCCAGACTCTGTCTCAAAAAACAAACAAAAAAGATGGAAGTCTCCAAGGCTCAGCCCTCAACTGCATCTTTCTGCCACCTCTCTGACTCCCTTGCAGGCTTTCCTGGACACTGGGTTGTAAGAGCCCTGGTGTCTCCCCTGACCCCTGTGTTTTCATCATCTATGTGGCAGATCCACTCGGCGTCTGACTGGCTCTCACCCTCATGCTTCTCTTTCCTTCACCCCTCCGCTGCTCCGTCGCAGATCCTGCCAGCTCTCCCGCTAGCACCTGAGCTGTCCCCGCTGCTCCCTGACAGGGCCACCCGCGTTTCTTTGTGGTCACTGCCATCACCCCAGCTGGTCTCCACCCTCTGCTCTTATACCCCTCACCAAGCATCTTGTGCTCCTGAGGTGCCAGGAGCAGCCGTGCCACTCACAGAGCTGTGCGGTGTGGGCCATGTTGCTCCTCTTGAATGTGTCCCAGCACAGAGCAACCTTGTGAAATAGACTCAGCTTGGTGTCACTCCATTGTGTTCAGTCCCTCCCTGGCCCCCTCTCTCGGGGGCCCCGGGCTTCCTTGCTAGTCCTCAGACAGGCGTGCTGTATCTCAGGGTCTTTGCATTTGTGGAGCCCTCCCCCCGGCTTTCCCTGTCTCCAGCTGTTCCCCCGGCTCATCCACAGACCTCCTTCAGGACTTCGCCAAGGGTCGCCTTCTCTGTACAGCCTTCTTTGGCCGCATGCAGCACATCCTCGCTCCTTCGCTGGCTCCTTTTGTCCGTGGCGCCTGTCACTATGTGACCTTCTATTTATTGAACAACAGTTCACATCTTTTACCTGTTTACCTCTGTGTTTTTCTGCTACTGGAGTGGAAGGGGAGCAGGCTTTTTGTCTGTCTTGTTCACTGTTGGATTCCCAGGGCCTGCACTTGGTAGATGTTCGGTAATTGGCCGTTGAAAGAACAGGTGATGAATGAACACCTGGTCCAGAGGTGCCTTCCTTCTGCTTCATTCCCACCCTGAACACTTGTGCTAGTCTCTAGGTAGGCCTGGACTCCTGCCCAGCATCTGTCAGCGATGTGTCCTCCATTGCTGTCATCACAGCAGCAGGGCTGTGGCTCTTTTAGCCCAACCATGTGCTTCCCTTGCCTCAGCTTGGCATTGTGGTTATTTCTGAGTGACTCTGAGGGGTGCTCATGGACCTTGGGAGGTCAGAAAGCCTTGCTTTTCCACCTGGATGGTTCCCAAGGTTCCAGATTAAGGTCTGAGAAGTCAGCTGGGTGTGGTGGCACATGTCTTTTATCCCAGCATTCAGGAGGCTGAGGCAGGAAGATTGCTGTAAGTTCAAGGACAGCCTGGGCTACACAGTGAGTTCAAGGGTAGCATAAACTACACAGAGACCCTGCTCAAAAAAACTTAGGGAAAAAAAAAAAGATTTGGGAAGTAGGTGCCAGGCAAGGTACTTTTGTCCATCCTGAGCCATCACCCCCACTCCTCCTTCCTGCCTCGCTGTGCAGCCTCTCCGCTATCTGGACTGCCAGCCAGTGTCCCCGTTCCCCAAAGGCTGGAGCCCCGGGTGTGGCCTTCTCTCACCCCTTGCTGAGCGTGACTTCTAAACGTAGGTAAACAGCATGAAGGAGCTGTACCTGCTGATGGAGGAAGAGGAGCTGAACGCCCAGCACTCGGACAACAAGGCTTGCACAGGAGACAGCTGGACTCAAAACACAGTGCGTCCTCAGCCCCTCCCCAGTCCTGTCCACTCAGTAGTCACCTCCGCCTCTGACCCCAGCCCTGCACTGGGCCCTGGCGCTACAGAATGGCGTTGCCTGGTCTCTGGCTCCCCATTACCTAGGACTGTGGAACACACAAGTTATCCCAGGGCAGTGACATAGTGGACTGTAAGGTCACAGGCAAGAAAGCAGTTATTTCTATTTGGCATACAGGGAACAGTCTCACAGAGAAGGGGTTGTAGGTAGTGGGTATTAAAGGACGAATAGGAACTTGCCTAAAAGAATGAAGACCATTCTGGACCTTCTTGCAGAGGTGTGGCAAGGTATTCTGGGCTTGGCTGTGGCTTGGAGTATACATGGTAGGCGTAAAGATATCAAGATAGGGTTCATGAAGAGGGCCCTTTATGGTCTGGGATCAAGTCACAGGTCAGAGATCAATGGGGTCAGATTTCTAGGGCTACGCACAGAGAGGGGTACGGATGGGAAAAGAGGTCAAGAGCCCGGGAGGGAAGTCCGGCCTCGTTGGGGCGCTCTGCAGTGGGTCAAAGGCAGGTCCTGACTGAGGGGAAAACGCACACCCTGGAGGCTGCCGAGCCTGGGGACAGTGAGACTCTTCAGCTCTTTAGACAGAGTGACCGCAGGAGTTTGTAAGAAGCAGGCAGGGCCGGGAGGGCTAGTCCTCCCTGCTTCATGGTGACAGGACCTAAAGAGGGACTTGCTCTAGCCTCACCGAGTCCTGGGCAAGTTCTCTGAGCCGAGCGACCAGAGCTCCTGACCAGCCTTGCTCTGTCTGTAGCCCAATGAGTACGTTAAGACGCTGGCCGACATGAAGGTGACGCTGAAGGAGCTGTGCCGGCTGCTGCGGGAGGAGCACCGGGGACTGACCGAGCTGCAGCAACAGTTTGCGAAGGCCAAGGCCACGTGGGAGACGGAGCGGGCGGAGCTCAAGAGCCATACCACCCAGGTGAGCCCCGCTGCCCCAGGCAGGGACATCTGCTTACTCTCAGCCAGGTGTTCAGCTCTCAGATCTGGGAGCTGGCTGCCCAGCCAGCGCTTCTAGAGGGATAGGCCCCCCTCGTTTCACCTTGTGGTCCAGAGAGGGCAGGAAACTTGCCTAGAACCACACAGCAAGGGTCCCAGAGTACAGACCAGGAGTGAGGGGCCAGGCGAGGAGGATGGAGGATTGACAGGCGGGTCTGCTGCACTGTGGGCTCATGGGTGAGGCCAGACTGCCTCTGCATCTGTCTGCATCTGCGCATGTCCTGTACACACTTCCTGGACTCCCATTCCCTGCTGTCCTCTCTGCTCCCTCCTCTCCTCATAGGGATCCCCAGCCCCCCGATTCCTTGCTCTGGTTTGCTCCCCCGACTCAAACTGAGAGTCTCACCTTCCAATAGCCCAGCCTCACCAAAGGCGCCTTAATCAGGATCCAGAGAGCTTAGTGCCTGCTGTGTGCCTGGGAGCAAGTTGCTGCCACTCGGGTCTGACACATGAGAAGGGGGCCCACTCAGGAGGCACTGACTCCATAGGTCTGCAGGGCCGGGCTCCCGCTAGCTCCGGGCTGCCCCTGGCACAGATGCTTTCCCAGGTGTCGCTGGGCACTAGGAGGTGGGCACTCTGATGATCTCTGCAGGACAGATGACAAAACAGGCCCAGGGGAGTTAAGTTTCTGTCCACTGTCACCCAGTGGCACAACTGCTGTGCTCCCTGAGCCTCCGTCCTGCCTGGCTCCCAAAACACCTTCCTCTTGGTGCGCACAGGCACCTGGCTTCTTCCTGGGTCCCCTGCCCCCCACCTAAGCCTCCCTGCAGATCTCGTAGCACCTGCCCACCTGTGCATCCCGAGGTCCCTACTCCTAATGCTCCCCGAACCCCACCATCCCAGGGGTCCTAGCCCTCTGCCAGCCAGGTGGGGTTAACATCCCCCACCATGTGCCCCAGCGCTGGGGGAGACCTTGGCTCTTGACTTTTCTTGATCTGGGGCCAGGAAAGCTGTCAGGCCATGCTGGAGTGGTTCCCACACACATGCACTGTGACTGCGTGTGTACGCGTGTGAATGCGTCTGTCCCTTCCCACCCAGGGCCTGTGGGGGACAAGGTGGGGTCCCTTCCTAGGAAGGGAGATAAAACATGTTCCCCCATTAACCAAAATCTGTACTGCTGGTAAGAATTGATAAATATCAGGAGAAGCAATAACTAGGAACAGCTGAATGTTACAGCTCTGTGAATGGGACACATAACCCCTTGGGACTCTCCCTCTGGAAAACCGGAGGAGGTAGTTCTGTGGCCGAGTTTCCATGGGGACCCTGAGGATATGCCTGGGAGCCTGCACTGTGGAGCTTGGCTTGAAGCGGCAGCTCCTCGGTCCTTACTGGATGCTGTGAGCAGAAAGGGCACTGAAGGCTTCTGGGAGCCCAGGATGGGGAGAGGGCGGGGTGAGGCGGCCTGCTGGTGGCAGCTGCCCGGCTGCTTCCCTCTGCAGATGGAGCTGAAGGCCGGGAAGGGGGCTGGAGAGCGGACAGGGCCTGACTGGAAGGCGGCCCTGCAGAGGGAGCGCGAGGAGCAGCAGCACCTCCTGGCTGAGTCCTACAGCGCAGTCATGGAGCTGACACGGCAGCTGCAGATCAGTGAGCGCAACTGGAGCCAGGAAAAGCTGCAGCTGGTGGAGCGGCTGCAGGGGGAGAAGCAGCAAGCAGAGCAGCAGGTGAAGGAGCTGCAGAACCGCCTAAGCCAGGTGAGGCTGGCTCCCGCCTACAAGGGGGAGTCACTATAGGAAAAGTCTTGGGCTTGCGTCTCTTCAGGTATTGCTTCAACAAGGTCTGGGGTAGAATCTGTTTCAGGTACAGCTGGATCCAGGCACTCAGAGATTACTGTAAGAACTAGGTCTTTCTCTCTGGCTCAGTCTCAGGCCTGCTTTCCTCTCTGTTAGCTTTACTCCTAAGCAAACTGTACCCAAATATGGCCACTGTGGTTTCATGCTCATGTCATACATCTTAGCAGATACAATGAAAAGAGTTTCTCTTCCACAAGGTTCTGATTGCATGGTCATAGGTCATGTGCCCACCCCCGAAGCCTCCCCAAAAGAGGGAGGGGCCAAGAGTGAGTCCCATTGGAAAATTGGAGTCGCGATCCAAACGGGGTTGGGAGTATGAAAAGTAATCACTGACGGGACCCAGCTGCCACCTACCACACTGCTACGCTGTACGCTTTGACTTCCTCTTTTCTTCTAGGGTTTTTTTGTTGTTGGTTTTTTTTTTTTTTTTTTTTTTTTTTGGTAGCACTGGAAATATGAGCCCAGTACACAGATGCGGACAAGTACATACCTTGGGACAGCTACACTGTTGGTACTGTCCCTGATGCTCACTCAGCTGCCCAGTCTTGGGCAAGTTTCCTCCCTTCGCTCAGTCTTGGCCCTCTCATCTGTGAAATGACAGCAAAGGGAAGAGGGAGGACTCAGAGGCGCCTCTGTGTTCAGTGGGAAGGAATGCCAGGGGCCACTAGTGATGGCCCCCCGCTGATGAGCAGCAGAGTCCTTGGATCTTTGGTTTTTTTTTCCTGTGGTCCTGGAGATTGAGCCCAAGGCCTTCCCACTAAACTATATCTTTGGTCCCCTTTTTTTACTTTTTATTTTGAATATGGGTTTTTGCTAGATTATTGCTCAGGCTGGACTTGAACTTGCAATTCTCCTGCCTCAGCCTCCCAGAGTGCTGGGATTACAGGTGTGAGCCACTGTGCCTGGCTTCCTTGGGGTTTATATTTGCCACCATGATGTGGAATAGGTGCTGCTTAGCTGATCCGTCTGTTCTCAGAACTGTGACGTGGGTTAATGCAGCACTGGCAGGCGGTCCTGCGTTAGATTGCGTACACCTCTAAGGACTCCTGCAAGTACTTGCTTGTGCTATCATTTTACAGTTCCACCTCGTGGATGGCTCAGAGCTGCTACTACTGAGAAGCTGGCTCCTAATCCGTGACATGCAGCCTCTGGCTGCAGAGTAGAGCGTGGGGCATAGCTGTGCTCAATTCGAGCTCCTGCTCACCAGCTGGGCCCACCACTGACTCACCCTTTTTGCCCTTGTTCAGCTGCAGAAGGCTGCTGACCCCTGGGTCCTGAAGCACTCAGACCTGGAGAAGCAGGACAACAGCTGGAAAGAGGTGAGGGTGTCGCTGCCACCCATGTCCTCTGGGCTTCCGTCTATACTGTACATTTAGTTCTGTTTATGGGGACATGCCAGAGGATGCTAACCCTGTCTCACAGGGATCCTTGTGGCCCTTGTCCCTGGCGTCTCTACCCCAGGGCTGCATGGTGTGTGACTTGGGAAGGGTCCTCTGCCAGGACCATCCTTCCATTCCTGGGAGAAACCTCTACCTCTGTTGGTGTCACTTGTGGCTCTGTGGAAAGCAAGGCCTCTAACTGGCTCTGTGCTCCTGGGTATGTTACTCCCCATCTCTGGGCCCCAGTTGCCTCACTGATAAATGGGAATCAAATTTTCCATCCTGGCCTCGCCCAGGGTGTGGAGATCAGTAAGGTCACATTAATGACATCTGCGCATAAGCTCAAGTGCATTGTCTCTATAGCAACATGCTGAGTAACCAGATGGAAGCTTTGTGTGGCCCATTTGGTCCTATGACAATCTGAGGAAGTGGTGTGTCACCCCAGGATGGGAAAGCAAACAGCAGACACGTACTGTGGGGAGCTGAGGGTTTTCTTCGTGCTCAGGAGTCCTGATAATGCAGGTTACAGGGGCTGTGCCTCTAGAGCCAGCATGGAACAAGCCCAGAGCAGTAGCTGCATGGTCACTGCTGTCACCACCAACTAAACAGCTGGCCATGGGGTGCTTTGCTGCTGCCACCACATTTGGAATAAGTTTTACATGGTCATGCTTCCCTTGGGGGTCACACTTGGAACTTCAGCTGCCCCACCCTGAATCTCATTCCGAGGGTGGCAGAGTTAGACACAGTGCAGCCAGAAGCTGACCGATAGGCATTCAAGATCACTGGTGAAATTATTCAGCCGTCCAGATGGGGGACACAGGCATGGAGGGCCAGGCCTAGCTCCTGCACTCGCCTCCTGTCAAATTCCTTCAGTGGCCGGAGCTGACCCTTCCTACCTCTCTTCAACAGACGAGAACCGAGAAGATCCATGACAAGGAGGCTGCTTCTGAAGCTGAGCTTGGGGGAACCGGCTTAAAGAGGTGCTGGCATCCCCTTCCCTGCCCTGCCCACTGCCCTGCCTGCAGCCCAGCCCACCTGGCTTGCATCTTCCCCTTTTCAAAATTGGGAGAGCAGCGGGGTGTGATTTCTGTGAAACCCAAGTCACTCAGGAGCAGGAAAGTGTGGGGGAAATCGGGGTTCTAGGCAGGATTCCAGTGTGCAGTTTGATGTTTGTTTTAGGTTCTGGGCATGGGAAACTGGGCCCCCATGTGCCCAGTGACACACTGTTTGGCTCCTCCTGGATTCTTTCTTCTGTCTGGAGTTAGGAGAGTTGCAGTGGGCGGCACACTGGGATTATTAGGCAGCATCCATTGGACACAGCCGCATGAGGGAGAGGCAAGGGGACCCCTGAGACAAAACCATATCTCAGTGATAGAAAACCTGTTAAAGGAGGGAGACAGAACCCCCTAGAAGCCTCACAGAACAGCCCAGAAGCAAGGGGCCCCAGCGTGGGAGAATGGGTGCTGCAGCCAGAGGGCCAGGTTTGATTTCCCCTATTGGATGGGCTAATAGGAGCTGCCCCCTCCAGCTGTCAGAGTGGTCAGGCATCTGCAAAGGACTTGCACATGCAGGCAAGCAGCGCCCTGTGTGTGCTGGCGATTTACTGGCATGTAAGTTTGAGTTCCCCCTGGAACAAGCTCTGAGACAAGGATTTACATGCAAATACTTTATTTGGGAGAGTATTCCAGGAAATGTCTAAAATGAGACAGGGAAGGAAGAGCACCTGGTCAGAGGAGTTTCTACCAGGTTATTCTGTGAGCAGCTGACACCCAGTCTCGCTGAGGAACTCTGGAGCCGGGGAAGAACACGCAGTTCTGAGTTACCCACTGAGGAGCCTGGGGGAACTGGCTTACAGCGCTGGGAGGCTGGGGTGCCTGCTCACCGTGTACTGTGCATGGTTTGTTGAGGGCTGTGTTTGGGGGAATTAACTCTGCTCTTTCTAGCTCCCTCTGTCTAGACACCAAGTATGTGTCTATAGCCAGAGAAAAAGGCCCAGGTAGAGGATAGCAGGTGCTCAGAGCATGCAGGTGGAGGTGAGAGAGGATGGGGAGCCACCCACAGTGTCTTCCAGAGGGGTGCAAGGCAGCCCTGGTCCTGGCCTGCACCCGCCAAGAAAGGAGAACACATGCTTGCTCCGCACGTTAGTTTCCACTGATGCCACTTTTCCTCTTCCGCTCTGCTCAGGACCAAATCTGTCTCCTCCATGTCTGAGTTTGAAAGTTTGCTCGACTGCTCCCCCTACCTTGCTGGCGGAGATGCCCGAGGCAAGAAGCTTCCGAGCAGCCCTGCCTTTACCTTTGTGAATCCCGAGCCCGTGGATCCAGAGAAAGAAGCCAAGGAAAAGCCTGGGCTCTCCTCACGGGACTGCAACCGCTTGGGCACTCTGGCCTGTCAGGACCCTGCCGGGAGGCAGATGCAGCGCAGCTACACGGCCCCAGACAAGACAGGCATCCGGGTCTACTACAGCCCTCCAGTGGCCCGGCGCCTGGGTGTGCCTGTGGTCCATGACAAGGAGGGCAAGATCCTCATTGAGCCTGGCTTCCTCTTCACCACAGCCAAGCCCAAAGAGTCAGCCGAGGCTGATGGGCTGGCTGACAGCTCCTATGGCCACTGGCTGTGCAACTTCTCCCGGCAGCGCCTGGATGGGGGTTCCGGGGGCAGCGCCACGGCGCCTGGATCTGCCTTCCCCGCTGCCCTGCATGACTTTGAAATGTCGGGCAACATGAGTGACGACATGAAGGAGATCACCAACTGTGTGCGGCAGGCCATGCGCTCTGGCTCCCTGGAGAGGAAAGTGAAAAAGAGCACGTCCAGCCAGACAGTGGGCCTGGCCAGCGTGGGCACGCAGACCATCCGCACGGTCAGCGTGGGCCTGCAGACTGACCCACCACGCAGCAGCCTCCATGGCAAGAGCTGGTCCCCCCGCAGTTCCTCACTGGTGTCTGTGCGCAGCAAGCAGATCTCCTCCTCCCTGGACAAGGTCCACTCACGCATCGAGCGGCCGTGCTGCTCACCTAAGTATGGCTCACCTAAGCTCCAAAGGCGGTCTGTGTCCAAGCTGGACAGCACCAAGGACCGCAGCCTGTGGAACCTGCACCAGGGCAAACAGAACGGCTCAGCCTGGGCCCGCTCCACCACTACTCGGGACAGTCCCGTGCTGCGGAACATCAACGACGGGCTGTCCAGCCTCTTCAGCGTGGTGGAGCACTCAGGGAGCACAGAGTCTGTCTGGAAACTGGGCATGTCCGAGGCCCGCACCAAGCCTGAGCCTCCCAAATACGGCCTCGTGCAGGAGTTCTTCCGTAATGTGTGTGGCCGGGCACCAAGCCCCACCTCGGCAGCAGGGGAGGAGAACTCCAAGAAGCCAGAACCCTTCTCCCCAGCCAGCTACCATCAGCCGGAGGGCGTGGCCAGGATCCTGAACAAGAAAGCAGCCAAGGCAGGCAGTGTCGAGGAGGCCAAGGCCACCATGCTCCTTCAGGTGGGGAAGGACGGTGTCCCACGGGATGGAGACGGAGCCTCAGTCCTTCCCAACGAGGTGGGTGGGTGGCGTTTGCCCTTTTTCCTGGGAGAAGGGATTAGCTTATAAAGTCCAAGGTCTTTTGGTTTTTAAACTTGAAGCATGTGATCCCATGTCTCAAAAAGTTCTTATGATGGTCAGGGGTGGGGATGGAAAGCCCCAGCTGGGAACAACACATACCTGGTGATCACATGATCTGAATGCCGAGAGACCAGTGACCGTGGCTTAACTGGCTGCTTTGTCGCCACATAGCAGTGGCCTCCGGGGGAGGGGTGTGCCCGCTGCCCTTACCCCCATGGTGTGCTGAGTGGCTTGTTGGGCCTGTGAGAGCCAGGTTGCCACTTCTATGTTAGTAGTATTGCCTTGGTACCTGAGATTGTCTCAGAGGCAGGACTGATGCTATATAAACTGTCAGAGGCTGCAAATCAGGGTTCCTGCCATTACTCCTAGAAATTGCTTCCCCTCCCCTTTCCTCCTGTCCCATTCCCACCCCTTCTCATGGTACAGGGGATTAAACTCAGCCTCCTGCATGCTAGGCAAACACTGTGCCACTGAGCTACACTCCCAGCCTTTTTTATTTCTTTTTTGAGACAAGGTCACACTCAGTCGCCCAGACTGGATTCAAACTTGGAATCCTCCTCCCTCAGCCTTCTGAGTAGCTGAGATTACAAGTGTGGGTCATCATACCTAGCTGAAAACTGGTCATTAAACATTAACCCACTTGCCACATCCCCCGTCCTATCTACATTTCTAAGCCAGAACGGTGGCACAAGCCTGTAATTGCAGCATTCTGGGAGTCTAAAGCAGGAGGATTGCAGATCTGAACTCAGCCTAGGTGATTTAGTGAGACCCTATCACAAAATAAATTATAAAAAGGGGGCTAGGGATATAGTTCAGAGCAGAAGCCCTGGATTGAATTTCCAGTACCATTAAAAAAAAAATTAAGACTCTCCACCTAAGTGCTCACATTCTCTCTAGACTCTTCTGTTGCACACCCCTACTCCTGATACCAATTCTGATAAATTTGAGATTATTTGAATGTTAGTAAAAGAATGCATGTAAGTTAGAAATGCAGAAGGGTGAGGTAAACATCTCTGAAGGATGATAGAGTCCTATGGGACCTAAGAACAGGGACCTGAAGGCCTTAGCAGCTTCTCTATCTGCTCTCTTCCCTCATAAACTTCATTTTCTCTTAGGTCTTCTTCCTCCTCTCTGTTTTTCTGTTGCATTTGCATAAGGACTATTTGGGCTGTTATCCCGCTGGTTTTGTAACATTTCCATCTAAAGCACCTAAGAGGCACCGATTCAAATCCCTCCATCCCAGTTTCACATTTCTGAGAGAAAGAAACTGACTGGTCTGCCTTGGGTCAGATGTACTCCTTGGTCCAGTCAGCTGGCCAAGGCTAGTGCTGTATGGTCTACAGAGCGTTCACAGAGATGTGAGGAGGCTGTGTGTGGGATGGGCCGTGCTGACCCAAAAGGTCTCCTTCCCTATTATTGTATGTTTAGGTGGGTTCTCATTTCTCTATTACAAATAGTATAGTGGTAGACATCTTGCTGTACAGTTTCACACATTTCAGATTATTTCCTTAGGTTTTGAGCTGCAGATGTGGGATTATACGGTAAAGTAGTATAAATTTTTTTTTTTTTTTTAGTCTTTTTTGAGACAGGGTCTCACTATACAGTTCAGGCTGGCCTTGAGCTCACCTTGTAGCCCAAGCTGGTCTCGAACTCGCAACGATCCTCCTGCCCCAGCCTCCCAAGTGCTGGGATTACAGGCGTGCGCCACCGTGCCGGGCAGTAATACAAATTTTTAAAAGGTATTTGGTAAATGTTGCAAATTGTCTTTTATTTGTTTATTTTTTTAATTTATTTTTTTTTTCCAGTACTGGGAATGGAGCTCAGGACCTCACACCTGCCAGGCAGGCGCTGTGCCACTGAGCTAAATCCCCAGACCCGCAAATTGTCTTTTAAAGAATGTGTCTGAGCTAGGGTGTAGCTCAGTGGTAGAAAGCTTACATAGCATTTATGAATCCCTGGTTTGAGTCCTAAGCTCTGGGGAAAAAAAACTCCACAAGTGAATTGGGTAAACAAATTACTTGCATTCAGTAGAATGTTATAGAACCATTAAAAAAGAGATCTAAACATAGTTGAAAGAAATGTGTGCGTGCTTTCCACTTGCAAAATGGGCTGTTGGGAATGAGGTCACTTTGGTAAGTGTACATATGAGTCTGTTGAGAATAAGGAAAAACTGGTCTGGAAAGTGTGTCCAAAGCTGGGCGCGCGGGTACTGGCCTGTGGACAGCCTGAGCTATGGGTGGTCCGGTCTGTACCTCGGGGCTCTTCCTGACTTTCTCCTCCTTCTTCCTAGGATGCTGTCTGTGACTGCAGCACACAGTCTCTTGCCTCCTGCTTCTCCCGGACGTCCCGCTCTGCCATCCGCCACTCTCCTTCCAAGTGCAGGCTGCACCCTTCCGAGTCTGGCTGGGGAGGGGAGGAGAGGGCAGCCCCCCCTAGCGAGTGACAGAATACCTGAGCCCCCACCTCAGCCCGCCCAGTCCCCGGATGGCAGGAGGGGACAGCGGAGAGGAGGTGAGGGGCCTTGCCCTCAGCAGCACGGCTCCCTGGAGGGACAGCAGCTGTGCCACTGCCAGCGAAGAGCTTTCATATCAAGGTAAAGCAGGGTCTCACAGAATCGTGCTGACCACTGGGTGGTGGTCTCTGACTTCCCAGGGGAAGACAGTGAGCGGGAGAAAGACCTCAACTGGGCCTTGGAAGCTTCTACAAAGAGTTCATGAGGACTGACCCCCGGGTCCTAAAGGAGACCTTTGTCTGCTTCCACCCTCACCCACCTCTTGGAAGAGCCCAGGAAGGAATACACTTCCAGCCATGCCTGGGGGGAAGGGGCTCACAGAGATGTCCCCTCCTGACTGCACCCCTTCCCTGGAAAGATGTCACAGAGAAGAACAGGCTTTGCTCTTGGACCCAACGTGGTGTTCTTGGCAGAGCAGGGCTGGGCATCACCACCGTAGCCTCCACCACCTCCTTTTCCCATCCCTGCTGCCCCAGGTTGCTGGACTTTAGTGGGTATGAGAGGGCAGTAGTCAGGGCCAAGTATCTACTTGGAATCCTGGAGCCCTGGATCCCCCTGCCTGTACCTGGAGGCAGCCCAAACTGGGAGACAAGATGGGAATGTGCAGGGAATTGCCTCTCTTGCCAAGGTGACCCGGGGGAACCTAACCTTCCCAGGAGACTTGGTGAAGCCAGACATAGGTAGAATCAATCTGAAGCCCTGGTGCATAGATAAAACCCTACCAGCCCATTGCCTTGCTCTCTGGGGCCTCTTTCCCTGGTGTCCTGAAGGGGCACCGCGTCTCCACTGTGTTTACATCCTGCAGCTGGTGGAGGGCGGAGACACTCCCAGTACAAGACTCGCAGTTGGTCAGGTCAGGCCATGAGCTCCGAGAAGTCAGTGTCCCCGGACACAGTAGCAGACTGGGGCACGGAAACACATGTTTTGCCTAGATTGTTTATTTGAATTTTTCGTACTATAAATATTTAAGGTGGTTTACTTTATTTTAATAATTTAATTTACCCGAAAGCCCCTAAGGTAATTTATTGGAGGTGAGACATGTATTCTTGCCACTAGGATAGTGTGGGGCTTCTAACTTGATGGACAGGCATGGGGTCTCCCTATGTGAATGAAGCAGCTCAGCCACCAAGCTCTGGTCTCCTGGCCAGTTGGGGGGCCCCTCCCCTGAGCTGGGGCCTGCAGCTTGTTCTTCTACCCCACTGACCATTCAGCCTCAGCATACTCCTTTCACTCAGTACCTGGTACTTGCCTGGCCCCGGAGGCCCATGTGTAAATGTGCTTGACAGGGTGGCCGGCCGGACTGACATCTGCACTCCCCAAGCATCCTCCATTTCCCTTCTCATTTTCTTCCCTCCTCCGACACCTTCCTCAGTGTGTCAAACACAGATCACCACGGCTCCATCAAGAGCACGGAGATCCCTCCAAGTTCCCCAAGTGAGAACGTGCAGGAAAACAGGATGAACTTCAAGAATGTTGTTTATTGCAGCTTTGCACACAGATGTGAGAGTGTCTACCAGCCCGCCAGCCTTTTCACCAGCCTGTCTCCTTAGCCTTATGGCCTCTCACGGCTCTTCTCCCAGCCCCAGCTCCACTGCCTGCCCGTTCCCACACCCGTGGGAGCCACCGATGCTGTCCGATGGATTGAAGTGTAGCTCATTGCAGTACAGGGAGGAAGCCCTCACGTGCCCTCCCCCTTGGTGCCGATGAACCCATTTTGCTTGCACACATGTCCACCTCCCCTCTGCCAACACACAGATGTGCAGTCCTCCCGGGATGGATAGGCTTGTCTGCAGAATTCCCCACCAGAAAGGCTGCGAGCTAGCAGCATCGTAGTTTGTCCCCAGGATACAGAAGATGGCTTGCACTGCCACCTCCCAGTTCCCGTGCACCCTTTCTGAGGCAGCTGGACCAGCGTCCTTTGCCCTCACTCCCTCTGGCAGCACATCAGGGTCATGTCAGTCCTGCCAGCTGCTCCCTCATACTCTAGTGACTTGTGTGGGCAGAGCAGTGGAGCCGTGGGCCAGTACCCCTCTACGTACGATACTGCCACTGCCACCCAAGAGGTCAGGGGGCCCCTCTACATCTGTCTCCAGGTGAGGGGATTCACACCGGGCCACAAACCACAAGAGGCCTTCTGCCACCTCCCGGAGCTGCAGAAGGCCAGGGGGGCTGCACTCTCAGCCTCGGGGAGAAGTCCCCATGAGACCAAACCCCAAGGCCTCTGGGCCACTCAGCCTTACCACCGTCCTCATCTGAGATTGTCATGCTGTCTTCGTTGTCACAGCATCTGGTCCCAGTGGGTGTTGGAGGGGCCGAGTCTTGGTTTTCGGTGAAGTACCAGTTTCTCCTCCTTGCATGCCACTGTGCCAGGCCACTTGTCACTGTTCCTGTAGAAGGCCCTGCGCGTGGGGCTTGAGGGGGGTTGGAAATGTTATGTGTAAATATTGGTTTGGTTTAATTTTTTAGCATTTTACTTGGTAACTGGTTGTGTTTTCTTTCTGGGGGTGGGAGGGTTGGTTTGTAAAAACTCTCTACTCTTTTGGAATGTGATTTCTAAGTTTGTTTTTTCAGATGCCTTTTACATCTTGGTAACATTCCCAAAGCAGAAACTGCCTGACCCACAGTGTGGCCTCCCCTAGAGCACTGGGGGTCCCAACACGGAATGCTGCCCTTCTTCCCCTTCCTACTCCTCTCTCCCTTCTTATTCTGTACCTTCTGCCTTCTCCTCTAATCTACTTTTTGTCCCATCTCTCTTCAACCAAAGTCCCGAGGAGCCCTGGGGTCCCTGTCCCCTGCAGACTGCCTGGCTTGGGTCCATGGGTTGGCATCAGCCGGTCAGAGAACAAGGAGAACGATTTGCATGATGGGCCCTGTACTAAACGACTTCACATTTTTTATGTGTGACCTCTTCCCAGAGCCAAATGCAACCCTCCTGGGTGCGCTGGTGACTGCATTTGAGATGAAAGTCAACTTCATTGCATCAGCGAGTCTGAGGCCTGGATGCACGGGCATCCGAATCCAGTTTCTGCCCCCTGCCCATTCCCTCCTTTCTCCTGGTCCTTTTGCCAACCAAGGTCCTGTGCTTTATGAACCCAAAACGGGCCCCATCCCTTGGCCTCCCTCGGCCTCCCTGGGGATGTTGTACCAGCTGGCCCTCAGGTCACAAAGCTGAGGGCCCAAAGACTTGACCCTAGCCTCATACCTCGATGCGATACAGTCTGTCCTGCCCACCTTTCATGGATTTATCCCCTGGCTTCTCTTGCCCAAGTAACATCCAGACTTTTCCTCCCTCTCCCCACCCATCCAGGATGCGCCCTCCTCCAGCCTTATCAGCCCCCAAGTTCCCGCTACCTCTTTAATAACAATAATGACAATAATCCCCTGTACCTCCTGCCCCAAGCACTTTACTATTTAGAGTTCTCTTCCCCATCCCCCATCCTTTCCAAGTCTCCCAAGGACAATTCTAGGAAGGAGCCTTGGCAGGACAGGGCTTCATTCGTCCATTCTGTCTCCAGGGCCTCTGCACTGAGCTATATCCCCATGCCTTTTTCATTTTTTATTTTGAGACAGTCTCATTAAGTTGCCCAAGCTGGGCTTGAACTTGTGATCCTCCTGCCTCAGCCTCCCAGAGTGCTGGGATTACAGGTGTGCACCACCACACCTGGCTACACAGTGCTATATCCTTAAAAAGAGTCCTGTGTATCTCAACCAGGTTTGGTTTTGATCTAATTGCCCTGAGGATTTCCAAGAATCATCTGAGGCAATTTACAGTTTTAGTCGTATGTGTGTATAATACAAGAACAGAAAAATGCAAAAAGTAAAAAACAACAAAAAGCAAGGTGATTGTTACTCAGATCTACCTAATTTAATTCCCATAACCATGCAATTAAATTTCACTCTTAACTGAGCAAGATGTTGCACACCTGTAATCCCAACTACTCAGGAGGCTAAGGCATGAGGATCACAAATGTGAGTCCAGCCAGGGCAATTTAGTGAGACCCTGCCTCAAAAAAATAGAAGGGCTGGTGATAGAGCTCAGTGGTAGAGCAACCCTGGGGTCAATCCACAGTATTGAAAAAAACATTTTTTCTTTCCCTCTTGTTTCCTAGCAGCCATGGTAAAAAAGAAAAAGAGGGGCTGGGGATTTAGCTCAGCGGCAAAAGCGCCTGCCTGGCAAGCGCAAGGTCGTGAGTTCGGTTCCTGGTACCGGAGAAAAACCAAAACCAAAAAAAAAAAAAGAAAAAGAAACAATCAGGATTTTATAATTTTCGTCATCCAGTCATGGGAAGTGGAATGCTATAGCTTTTATCCTGTGTTGCGAGCTTTGTGGGGGTAGATACTAAGAATTGAAACCACGGCCTTCACACTGCGTTACATCCCCAACCCTTTTCTATTTTGAGACTGGGTCTTGCTAAGTTACCAGTTTGGCTCAGACTTGTAGTCTTCCTGCCTCAGCCTTCCAGAGTGTCAGGATTACAGGCACATGCCAGCATGCCCGGCTCTGCCTCCTCTCCTGCTTAGCTGGTTCCTGCCTGCAGATGGGCCACCCCATGGCTAGGTTTTCCTCTTCTAGGCCCCAGGCTTATTGTAGCCCCAGCCCCCAGCCCTGCCAGGACACCCTTCCCCCAGCACTGCCCCTCCTGTGGCTTTTCCTACAACTTCAGCAGTTGTAGGAAACTCCTCTCTCCCACGCTCACATTCAGGGAAGTGCCCCGGCTTGTGGCACCCTTCCCTGTGTATTTATGTTGCGTTTCCTCACACCAGAGGAGGCTCTTTCTCAGATGTATCAGGCAGCACAGCCTTGCCAGCCCTTCCCATCGGTTCCCGCCCCCAGCACCTCCCAGGATGGAGGGACATCCCTCAGTCCCACCCTCGAGCTCTACTGTTTCTGTCCATAGCCTCCAAGCAGCAACCCTAGTACCTTCCGCTGGGGAGAGTATGGTGGACATGAACTCTTCCAGCCTCCTCTGCCCTCCCCAGCCCTGCGTGGCCTTCGCTGTAAAGCAGGAGCGGCCTACTTGGGCTCTCTCTTTCTCTCCAGCCATCCATCCCACCCTCTGAGCATCTCTTCCGTCTCCGCTGGGAGACCTCCCAACCCAACAAAACTTGTAGTTTGCAGAGTCCATAGGGGATGGAAAACAATTCTGGGCCCAAATCCCTCCTCAGGCCTCCTCCACCACCTGCCCCGCCCGCTCCATCCTCTCCTTCCAGAGACACACGCACACACGCACACACACACACACACACACACACACACACTTGTCTTCCCCTTGTTGATCCCATGGGCCCTGGTCCCCACCCTTACCGCCCAGCACCAGCTCTCTGTACACCAGATCCCAGTGGAAGGGGCTCTGATTTCGTCTGAACATCCTGGATGGCTAGGCAGTCAGGGACACACTGCCTGTCACACTCCATTCTGAAGCCACCCAAGCCACTCCCACGAAGAGGGACCTCAGCCAGCAGTCCGGCCCTGTTCTTGGCTGACCCTGTCTCTGGCTATCTCAGTTTTAGGGTCCACTGAGGAGTACCAGGATGACCCTCTGGGCCCCAGAGCACCCCTCATATTTTGGGGTCCTACAGCCCCATCCTTTCTCTACTAGGCGTTGGTATCCTGGTTCCTCTCTCAGCTGTGCCACTGATCTCTGTGCCTTAGTTTACTTCTCCGCACAGGGGGGCGCTCACCACAAGACCGTTCCCAGTAGCTTTTTAGATCCTTTGGTGCCTATAAGGCTGGCTGTTGCCAGCATGGCTCTGGCTAGTTGAACCAGGTTGCCGAGGATGAGGATGAAGTGACTTAGGGACACCATTCCAGACCAGTAGTTTTCAGATTGTGTCCCAGCAGCAAAGCAGGGAACCTGAGGGAAGTGCAAATTACCAGTCCCGCCCGAGATGCACTGGATCACAACTTCTGGAGCAGGGCCCAGCTAGCGAGGGTTTGACGGAGCCCTCCAGGTCGCTCTGATGTACACAGCGTTGCCAGCTGGACTCCTCCCCGTGCGGCCTCGGGAGGGGCTGGGGCTGGCCCAGGCTGAGAACAGTGGGAAACACGTCATCTGTACTTCTGAGATTGCAGGCTCCTCCGAAACAAAACCAACCCTCTCGTGTCTCCCCTTCTCAAAGCCAGAGAGCACGCAGTTCTCCTTTTTCTGCCTCTGGTTGGATTCCAGCTCTGTTCACCTCTCCCACTGTCCTGGATTTTCCAGAAGGCTGTGTGGGTGCTGGCAGTAGACAAAGATGGGAGTCCTGGGGAGGCAGGAGACAAAGAAACCTCTTTATCCCCGGGGAACCTCGCCATAGGCCAGGTGGCTTCTCTTGAAATGGAAAGAAACCCAGCTCCACAGGAAGAGAACCCTAAACCTCCTTGTGCTTCCTTTCCTGTTCCTTTCCCTCCTCTTCCTCTTCCTCCCTACCCCAGGGAGAACTTGTAGACAGTGCCAAAAAAACCAACTCCAGCCCCCAGGCCCTGGGGAAGAGAGCCCGAAGCTGCCCCTCCTCATCCGGCCCCCACCCCCGCCAATACTGTGAAGCCCCTTTCCTGCTCAGCCTGCTTTCCTGGTGAGGGTCCTGCAGTCATGGGCCCTGGGGGACCCCCAGGGAAAGGGTCTCAGGAGGGAAGGGACCAAGGGCATCCTTGGGCCAACTGTCCCCCTCTTCCTTACACTGTTTGCTCCTTCTCACTTCTGTCTTCAAAAGGCTCCTTCCTAGGATGGATTGGGTGCTAGGACTATTGCAGTCCAATCCACCAGCTCTCCCTGCCCTGTGTCTTATTTTGACATGAGAATAACTGTACAGTGTAAACTTACAAAGCGTTTTTAATGGTTGTAGATTGGAAATAAAGTATGTCATATGAACAGTTGCCGTGGACTTGGCCTCCTCTCTGATTTCTCTAGCAGATCTGAAACTTGACTCCACCTCACCTGCTGTTACCTGGGAAGAGGGGTCTGCTACAGCCAGCTGGCTGGTTTGGGGTCACTTGGCCAGAACTCCCAGGTGCTCTGGCTACTGACTACTGGTAGCTCAGTGTCTCCCACAAAGTGTGTTACAACCACTGAGAAATAAAGCTTTTGTACAAAAGACAATTCATTCTGGAAAAAAAAAAAAACCACTGGTGACATTTCATAGTAAAGTAACTATACCAAAACATTTATATCTCGGGTCAGAAATTCAGGAGTTGGGTAGTTCTGATTCATGGTCTCTGGGAGTTGTAGTTAGACATCAGTGAGGCTGCAGTTTTGTTTGTTTGTTTTGAGACAGGGTCTCACTGTGTATTTTAGACTGGCCTTGAACTTACTATGTACCCCAGGCTGGCCTCAAACTCACAGTGATCCTCCTGCCTCAGCCTCTCTAGTGCTGGGATTATAGGCATGTTCCACCATGACCCCTACAGTGTGTGTGTGTGTGTGTGTGTGTGTGCACGCACACACGTAAGTGCACTGGGGATGGAACTCAGAACTCAGGCATGCTAGGCAAGTGCTCTTCCACTGAGCCACACACCAGCCCTGGCTGCAGTTTTCTGAAAGCCAGACTAGGGCCGGAAGATCCATT